AAAAGCTCTATCTCCTGCTCGGTTTTGTGTTCTTCGATCCAAGCTTCAAGTAGTCGAGTCTCCTCATCCTACTTGAGCTTGCGGGGGGCTATTGCAGTATAGTTTTACTCCTTACTTATATATGTAGAATAGCAATGTAGATTATTTTTAATCTTCTTTTTACTGTCACATTTATTGCCTTTATTATAGACCAACATAGATTGGCTCTATGTAAACTTGTCTTGTATTTCTTGTTCAGTTAGTGAAAACATATTTTGCTTATTGAAACATTCTCTTATCTTCTCTCTTCCGCTCTCTCTCTCTCTTACACACACACACACAATTCTATTATTGTGGTTAGGGAAGAGATGGCCTATCCCTATTCAGCGTTGAGTTGTGAGGTTGATCTCTGTCACACCTCAACCATTCTCATAACTGATGGTGTCGATACTGATGGCCTCTATCACCTTGGTGAAGAGCATCCCATAGGGAATGGGTGCTCCCTTGTTCTTGTCATGGTCTGATTAAGACATGACCTCCAATGGTTGAACACAAGACTTGCAAGTTCATAGTAACCCCTAAGCATAGATGTAGATGTAGAAGCGAGGGAATATGCATATAGACTTCTTCTAGTTCACCGTTTAGGAAGGCATTCTTAATGTCTAGTTGATAGAGTGGCCAATCTAAATTTGCAACCAAAGAGAGTATGACTCAAATTGAATTGAGGTTGGATACCGGTGCAAAAGTCTCTTCATAGTCCACTCCATATGATTGGGTAAACCCTTTTGTCACCAGTCGAACTTTGTACCGGTTTATACTATCATCGGCATTGTATTCGATGGAGAATATCCACTTGCATCCAATCGATTTCTTCCCTTCCGATAGAGTGATGATTTTCCACATGCCATTCAAGGTTGGTCCTGATGGCACCATTGATCGACTCAAAGCTCGTTTGGTCGCCAAAGGTTATACTCAAATTTTTGGATTAGACTATGGTGACACTTTCTCTCCTGTTGCCAAGATGACCTCTGTCAGATTATTCTTAGCCATGGCTGCTCTTCGCCGTTGGCCTCTCTATCAACTGGATGTTAAAAATGCCTTTCTTCATGGGGATTTGCTTGAGGAAATTTATATGGAGCAACCTCCTGGGTTTGTTGCTCAGGGAGAGTCTTCCAGTTTGGTATGTCGTCTCCGCAAATCACTTTATGGTCTTAAGCAGTCTCCAAGGGCATGGTTTGGTAGATTTAGTACCGTAGTCCAACAGTTTGGTATGACTCGAAGCGACGCTGATCATTCGGTCTTTTATCGACATTCCACTGCTGGGTGCATCTACTTGATAGATAAAACAACATCTTTGCCATCATTTCCAGACAAAAGACCTTGGTAAACTTAGATATTTCTTGGGGATTGAGGTAGCGCAATCTACAAATGGAATTGTAATATCTCAAAGAAAGTATGCATTGAATATTTTAGAGGAAACTGGGCTAATGAGTTTCAAGCCCGTTGAGGGGGAGCCTTTCTCAGATCCTGAGAGGTACAGAAGATTGGTTGGGAAATTGAATTATCTCACAGTAACTCGTCGTGACATCTCTTTTGCGGTTAGTGTGGTGAGTCAATTTCTCAATTCTCCATGTGCAGGACATTAGAATGCAGTCATCCGCATTCTGAAGTATATCAAAGGTGCTCTAGGAAAAGGTTTATTATATAGCTACAACAATCATACCCAAGTTGTGGGATACTCAGATACAGATTGGGCAGGCTCTCCCTCTGATAGGAGATCCACCTCAGGTTATTATGTCTTTATCGGTGATAACTTGATTTCCTGGAAAAGTAAGAAGCAGAATGTAGTGGCAAGATCTAGTGCAGAAGCAGAATATCGTGCTATGGCCTCTGCTACGTGTGAGCTTATTTGGCTCAAACAGTTGCTTAAAGAACTGAGATTTGGCGAAGTTACGTAGATGGTTCTCATATGTGATAACCAAGCTGCCCTTCATATTGCCTCAAATCCAGTATTTCACGAGAGGACCAAATACATTGAAATAGATTGTCACTTCATTCGTGAGAAGATTTTATCTAGGGACATTACTACTCAGTTTGTTAACTTTACTAATCAGTTGGCAGATGTCTTCACCAAATCATTACGGGGTCCTAGGATTGATTATATTTGTAACAAGCTTGGTGCATAGTGTTAGATATAGTTTTATCTTATGGGCCTAGGCCCACTACTTGTATATAAACACATCTTTTGCTTTGCAATACACAAGGAATATGTTCTCTCCATTCACCATTATTCTCAACAAAAGTTATGCTTGGAAAGTCAAGTGCAGCCCCATCCATTGAAGGCTCAACAATGACAACAAGGGGGAACCAGCCTCATACATCTCAAAAGAAATATCGGCCTTGGTGTGATCATTACAAGAAACTGGGCCACACTATGGACACCTGCTGGATCATTCATGGCAGACATTCAGAGACAAAATAGACCAAAAACTTGGACAGTAGAGGCAACACAACAGAGGCAAATTCTAACCCATCCCCATACTCGTAGCTCCTACCCGCCTCAACCCTATAAACCCTCTCAACCTTTCTCCCTAATTCACAGTGATATATGGGGGCCATCACGGGTAAACAATGTCACTGGATCAAGATGGTTTGTCACCTTCATTGATGATCACACATGGGTCATTTGGGTTTTCCTAATGAAGGATAAATCAGAAGTTGGCAGAATATTTAAGTTATTTTATACTATGGTGGAAACACAATTTCAAAGTAGAATTAAGGTGCTTAGAAGTGACAACGGCCGAGAGTATTATCACTCTGCACTAAATTCCTACCTTCAGAAACATGGAATCATACATCAGAATTCATGTGTAGATACCCCTCAACAGAATGGAGTTGCCGAAATAAAGAATACACATCTCCTAAAAGTGACCAGATCTCTCATGTTAACTACAAATGTACCCAACCAATTTTGGGGAGAAGCTGTCCTCTCTGCAACCTATCTCATAAATAGAATGCCCTCCCGAATCCTCAACTTTAACACCCCTTATTCTACTCTCCAAACCTCATATCCTACCAGTCGTATCCTTACATCCATTCCCTTGAAAATATTCGAATGTTTAGCCTTCATCCACAACCTCAATCCTCATCGCAACAAACTTGACCCAAAATCCATCAAATGCATCTTCCTCGGCTACTCCCCCCACCAAAAGGGGTACAAATGCTATTCACCCCATACCAGAAAACTTTACCACACTATGGATGTCATTTTTTTTGAGAATCAGCCTTATTACCCCAAAGTTAGCATTCACGGGGAGTAGACTTATTATCCAATTGAAGTGGTAGAATTTCAACTTTTGGGATTTGAGCTAGTTGAATCTGCCAACCAATATTGCACCTGCACAAGAGGAAACTGTAGTAGAAAATGCAGGAAACGCAACAGAATTTTTGGGATTTGAACTAACCGAATCTGTCCCAAATGCAGAACCAGCCGAGACTCCACCTGCAACAGAAATTGAATAGGAAAATGCAATAGAAACTGCACCAATTGAAGCTAGAGAGAGGATTACATCTCAGCAAAAGCAAAGCCCGACCACACAAGGAGACAACTGGATGACGTACTTCAGGAAGAGAAGGAAGGGAGTGGAGTCCAGCACAGATCCAAGGCAAAGCCATGAATCCAACCAGGCTCTAGAAAATGAGTTTTCCCTAGGTAATATCGTTCTTAATCCTAAAACTATTAATGACATTGACATTCCTATTGCCTTAAGAAAAGGGGTGAGATCTTGCACTCAACACCCCATTGAGAAATATGTGTCCTATGGAAAATTATCATAGGGGTATAGGTCTCTTGTGGCAACTCTTGACAACAAAAATATCCCAAGGAATGTTCAAGAGGCACTCCAACAACCTGAATGGGCAGTAGCTCTAACAGAAGAAGTCTAGGCCTTGGTTAAAAATGGCATGTGGAAAATCATCACTCTATCGGAAGGGAAGAAATCGATTGGATGCAAGTGGATATTCTCCATCGAATACAATGCCGATGATAGTATAAACCGGTACAAAGTTCGACTGGTGACAAAAGGGTTTACCCAATCATATGGAGTGGACTATGAAGAGACTTTTGCACCGGTATCCAACCTCAATTCAATTTGAGTCATACTCTCTTTGGTTGCAAATTTAGATTGGCCACTCTATCAACTAGACATTAAGAATGCCTTCCTAAACGGTGAACTAGAAGAAGTCTATATGCATATTCCCTCGCTTCTACATCTACATCTATGCTTAGGGGTTACTATGAACTTGCAAGTCTTGTGTTCAACCATTGGAGGTCATGTCTTAATCAGACCATGACAAGAACAAGGGAGCACCCATTCCCTATGGGATGCTCTTCACCAAGGTGATAGAGGCCATCAGTATCGACACCATCAGTTATGAGAATGGTTGAGGTGTGACAGAGATCAACCTCACAACTCAACGCTGAATAGGGATAGGCCATCTCTTCCCTAACCACAATAATAGAATTGTGTGTGTGTGTGTAAGAGAGAGAGAGAGCGGAAGAGAGAAGATAAGAGAATGTTTCAATAAGCAAAATATGTTTTCACTAACTGAACAAGAAATACAAGACAAGTTTACATAGAGCCAATCTATGTTGGTCTATAATAAAGGCAATAAATGTGACAGTAAAAAGAAGATTAAAAATAATCTACATTGCTATTCTACATATATAAGTAAGGAGTAAAACTATACTGCAATAGCCCCCCGCAAGCTCAAGTAGGATGAGGAGACTCGACTACTTGAAGCTTGGATCGAAGAACACAAAACCGAGCAGGAGATAGAGCTTTTGTGAAAACATCAACACATTGATCGATGGCTAGAACATGCACTACTTGAAGATGCTTGGTAGCTACCTTTTCTTGAACAAAGAACAGATCTAATTCCATATGCTTAGTGCGTGCATGAAGAACAGGGTTGTGGGCTAGGGCCACGGTGCTCAAGTTGTCACAGAAAACAATTGGAGTTTAATGACGAACTTTAAGTTCAGAGAGTAAGGTTTGTATCCAAGTAACTTCAGTTTTGGCAAGAGCAAGGCTTCTATATCCTGCTTCAGTGCTAGAACGAGCTACAACAGTTTGCTTTTTGGACCACCAAGACACAAGATTTGGTCCAAGAAAGATGGAGGCTCCTAATGTAGATCTCCTATCATCAAGATCAGATGCCCAGTCTACATCACAGTAGGCGTGAATGGATAAAGAGGAGTTGGAAGGGGCTTCTTGCAAATGGAGACTCCAAGAGGTAGTGCCTTTTAGATAGCGAAGAATACATTTAACAACGGACCAGTGATGTGCATATTGTAATGCGCCAACTACTGAACAGTAGAGAGAAGCATTTAGGAAGTCTTCAGTGCTAGCTTTTGATAGTTTGCAGCCACTAATCATTGGAGAAGAAATGGGTTTTGAAGCTTCCATATCTGCGGTTTAAGAAATCCATGATATATTTGCTTTGAGTTAGGATAAGGGAGCCATCAGATAGCTTGAAGGAACTTCAATCTCCTCCAAGTAGCTCCATCATACCCTATGCGGGATCTTCAATTTTCAAAATATTTTTCTCTCCTTAAATCCTAAGTTAGCCATCATGCTATAATGTCACACTGCATTCTTAGCATCCACACCTCATCAAACATCAACTATATACATTACATTCAATCAATGCATATAGATATCATCAACATCAATCATATACAGCATACCAATGCTTAACATCTCAACTAATAACAGCATACTAATGCTTAACATCTCAACCAATAACAACATACCAATGCTTAACATATCAACCAAGAATAACATACCAATGTTCTCACCATTTCAAATACACAAGGACAACATTCCAATGCTTATTATAATTTCAAGTACACAAAGATAACATATCAATGTTCATTCTCATCATCCTATAATGCACAACATGCAATAGACACAAACATTATATTCATGTTCACCAATTTCACCAATCATACAACTTGTACCACATGCAATTTATCAAAATCACATATTTCTACACTAACAACCTTCACCTAAAACAACCCATAGGGTGTTCTACTACTAAAATCATTCTCATCCCTGTCTCATATGAAAGATAAAAGAATTTCCTGCAACTCTTATGGAGACACCCAGTCCTAATTCCATCATCTACCTTTTTAAAAATTTTAAAAACCGCAACCATTCTCCTAAATGCTGACAGCTTGACCTTTGCTCACTAAAAAGGTCATAACTAGAGTTCTAGACCACCTTTTTGAGTGATTTCAGCGCCATTGAAAAGCTAACATCCAAGGCTACAAATTTCACGAAGATCTCAAGAGAAAATTCGGCCATCTACTCTCACCGCTGTAGCGCTCAAATCAGAGCTTTAGCGCTAGATTTCTGCCAGCTCAATTTCCTTTCCACGGCCATGGCTGTGAATCCACAACCATGGCTGCAAGTTTTTGCCACTCCATTTTCCCCCCAGCCATGGCTGCAAGTCTCTGCCACCACATATTTCTCCCCCACGGCCATGGCTGTGAGTTTCACCCACTTCATTTTTCCTCCACGACCATGATTGTGAATCCACGGCCATGGCTGTGATCAGTCTCAGAATTTCAGAAAATCGATGGGTTTCACCTTCAATTTTCTCCTTCTCTTCACCAATCTTCCCTCTAAACATGATCTACGCTCAAAATCTCTACCTAATTTGTTCATACAGCCCAGAAAACACCAAAAAATCAACATGCATGCAGCCAAAGCTCAAGGAAAATGATCAATGTTCAACCTTCTATCAAGAAACCAAAACCCCAATGTTCAACATGAAAATCACTTCGGATTCATCCCCCTATTTACAATTTTTCAAAATCAAGTAGGCATGGCAACGGGGCGGGTTTTACATTCCCCGCCCTCGCCCCCGCTCCTTTTTTTTTTCTTCTTTTTTTTTTTCCTTTTAAATAAATATGAACAATTTTAAAAAAATAAAAGAAAATAAAAATAATATAAATTTTTACATATAAATATTTCTAATTTTGGTTTATATGTATATATAAAGAATTTTTTAATTATATTATTAAGCGGGGCGGGGGCGGGGTGGGTATTAACATCTCCGTCCCTGCCCCGCCCCCGATTTTATCAATCGGGGAAAACCCGAACCCGAACCCGAACCCGATAAACACGAGTTTTCCCCGTCCAAATCGGGGTGGGTTCGGGCGGGTACCCACGAGGACGGGTTAGATTGCCATGCCTAGAATCAAGTCTCAATTTATTCAACAACCTAACATGCAAATAAAAATCTCAAATTTTCCAGCTTCCCTTTCCTCAATCTTAAGCTCCCCGAAGAAGAAGAAGAGAAGAATGAAGAAGAAGAGGATGAAAATGCTTCGGGAGGAGGATCTAACAACCTTGTTGCTTCCTTGTTTCTCACCAGCTCAAACTTTTAGATCAACCACCACATCATGGCTCAGCCAAGAAAGGGAACGAGAAGAAAAGAAAAATGAGAGGGGAAAAAGGAAAATGAGAGAAGGGGGAGAAGTTATGGGTCTCATAAAAATAAACTCTTGCTTTTATAAACTTAAGTTAATAATTTTCCACTTTTATTTGGACAATTACAAATAAATAATATACTTACAATTATTGGTTAACTTTTATGTGTAAAATTAATTATACTTAAAATTCATTTGTTAAACTAATACTTACATTTAAGTTAAATTTTTAGTTTTGTCTTAAAGTTTTGTTAGATAAACATTGCTATTAAATTAAAAGATAGTATTTGCTAAAATATTAAGTATAGTATAGTCTCTTTTAAAAATTGAAAGATAATATGAAGATGAAAATAATATATATATATATATATATATATATATATATGAAAAACACTAAGTATATGTGAATTGGTCTTTAGGCATTGTATCTTCCTGACATTTTTCACAATCCTCACAATATTCATACTATTGACTCAATTCAGTCACTATACTTAACTGATATCTTCGCATATATCTATCAAATACATGTACAAAAAAGAAACAATGGAGTAAAAATTTAATAATCTAGACTTATATATTACTAATCTAGACTTATATATATATATATATATATATATATTTTGAGAATAAAGATAGTTATCCTAAAATACACAATAATTTGTGGGAGAAATTAGAATTAATTTATTTTATTGCATGCATTTACAGTGTTAAAATACCAATTTCCCCCGCTCAATGCATGACTACTGGTTGCAACTAAACTATATTGTCACTATACGAATCAATCAATGTTGTGTTAGTGTCTATTGTAATAAAGAAATTTCTGATTTTATTTTTTTAACAACTAAAGAGATAATGTTAAAAAAAAATCATTGAGCACAAGATGTATCAAAAAGTCGTAAAAAATAATAAATAAAATTTTTCTATCTGTGTACTCTCAACACATTGTCCAAATCACACCAATCACATCTCTTTCCAATAAATGACACACCATCCAAAATCCACCGACAAAAAAAAAAAAGCCAAACTATTTATTGAATGTTATATAATAAAAAAATTCCCCTTTAAAGCTTAACTTACTAAATTACACACAATGAAAACAAGAGAGAATGAATCTAACCTAAAATTCCTCACAAAACTTTAAGTTTGATTTTTAAGTTGTAATCTCATCAAACATCTATCTAACTTTGAGAATTTTTGTACTATTTTCTTCTAGTTTACTTCTAATATCATTATACAACTCATCCTCAAACTATTTCATTCTCTCTCGATATACATATATATATATATAACAAATATTAAATTCTTGTATTCAATAACTTTTATAGGAAGAAAAAATGTATTGTTTTAGTGTTTTATATAAAAGGATGTGATTAGAGTTTACAATCTTGTCTTTGGGCTCACTAGTCATGTGAGAGCTAAAAGGACATTGGCACCCTTGTGAGGTCCTCTTGATGTGGCTTTGCACGATAAGATGGAAGACTTTGTAAAGTGTTGGCCTTTCCCATCTTAATTTCGTACCGTGTGGTAAGCACATACTGTTGAAGTGGACAGAGAGTGCAGCAAGGACCACACCCTCATAACATAACAGTTTCTCTTCCTCATCATTCTCCATCACTCATCAAGAGGGATATAACAACAACTTTTTTCACTATCAATGATCATCTATGAATTACGGTGTCGTGTTTTTCCAACTTGTTTTTAATCAGTTTTAATTAACTGAGATATTGTAACTTACCACTTCATACTTATGTCTTATGGAGTGGGATTTTCTTATAACAAATAATGAAAAGTTATCATAGGGATTTATAAATATATTAACTAACAAAAAATTTAAAAGTTATTAATGACACACTTAATATAAAAAAATTTATTTTTTTTTATATTTTTAAATGATTAATGATTTAATAATAATGATAATTAAATATGAATTTTATGAGGTTAATCATCATGCACCATCATTGACCTAATTTTTATACTACCAACCAATCAAAAATTATGAGAAAAATATTTTTTAAGATAATTATTATAAAAATTGATAAAAAAAATTTTACATACCAATTTCTGGTTGGTTGATTGTCAATATACTCTTTTATTGGACAAATCACATATATAGTTGAAAGTGTCATCTATTATTACTTTAATCTTTGAAATAAAAAAATATATATAATTATTACGTCAATCCAATCTTTACATGAAACGTGTGGCTTCGGTTAAAATTAACATATATTTATATATTAAAATAAAATAATTAATTATATATATATATATATATATATATATGAAATGAACAGAAATTTCAGATATTTATTAATTTATATTCAAAAATTCTTTGATTTTAGGGATCCATATAACAACACTTAATACTTTTATTGAAAAAAGTAATTTGTCTTATTCTCATTCTTTAATATTTTTTTAAGACAGTTTTATTTTTAATTTATTAATTTTATATATTTACTTTGTTTTATGTTAATCAGTTGAAGTGAGTTGAATTTTAGAAGTTCGTGAAGCTAGAAAAAACTAGGAGAAATGTCTTACAAAAATGCTTGCAAGTTATTCATTAAAAAAATAAAAAAAAACTCACATAGATACAAGATTGACATTTATCAATTGAATGAACATTTGATAGCAAGGTTATCTTTAAATTATCACCAGTTTTTTTCATGTCACATATAACTTTCATCTTTTATTTTATTAAATTATACACTTTTTTTTTTTTGTCATGGTACTTTGATAATAATTAATCTGACTAGTTTTTTAATTGAATATTCAATGCATTTTACGAGAGATTTCATTTTCTCTAGGTATAGGGCATCATAATTTTTTTCCAAGTCACCAATGCATTTTTTTATTGATTTTTTTTTTAATTGTGTATAATGCATTAATTGTATGTAAAAGTTTAAATTTTATAAATTTAACTCGAATAAATATTTACTCAAAAACTGTCATTTCCCTCATCAAGAATGATATGTC